CTCCCCAAAACCCCAAAACCCCAAAACCCCGAAGGAAGTTCTTGGAATTGGAGAAGGATATTATAATATTAATAATTAGCATGGAGCCCAAATTCACTAGTTGCCAAGCAAGCTCTGAATCAAACCGGGAGCTAGAACAGAAAAACAGAAATCTAGAAGTTGAGCATGATATAAAAGTTATGAATAACTTAGAACAAGGCAGAGTCCTGAAAGTTTATTACGAAGATACTAATACCAACATTTATATGGCAGTTGAGAACTCCTTCCTTAATAAAAACATCTATTATTTCAAAGATATACGATCAGTCAATTTAGACTTGCTCATAAAGGAGAAATATGGCCGTACTGCTATGATAAATCCAAGCTACGCTCGTATAGATAGCCAGGATGTTACAAATTATTTCTCAAGAAAGACTGATTGGATATCAATCAGAAAAAATATAATCTGGACAAAAATTGGAAGCTCAATATTCTTTTTAGATTTAAAGGATAAGTACTATAAGACTTTAGTTTATAAATCACTGAGTATGGTCACGGATAAGTTCATCCTCTCAAATTTCAAACTCAGCTGCAGAGACTTAGCCAAAATTATCATGCTTGGGAGCAGGATCCATACTCTCATCTTCGAATCATGTAGAATCAAGACAAGTGCTTTCCCAAAAGGGTTCACCAGTTTTTACAAGTAAGTTAATTTAGAAAATTCATATCTAAAGCCATGACAGCTTATTAACCTATTAATCTTAGCATAAATCATGAATGAATATTTTACTTTTTAATCAATAAGCATACTTACTAAATTGTATAGAGATGAGCTTGATCCCAGAATTCAGATTAAATCGGTCTTATTTAAAAGCTGCCAAGTTGACCAAGCTGGAGAAGATTTAGGTTATCCAGTGATGGCATCAACTGTGATGGATAGTATTCTTAGCTCTAACCTGACCAAATCTCTGGAGACAGTGACATTCCAAGGCTTGTCAAGCCAAGATGATAAAGATCAGATAATTAAATCTCTGGAGCACAACAATGTATCCGTAAAAGAACAAGATTCTCGTGATCTGATCAACTTTATAATCACTAAGTCAGATAGTCAATAAAATTTCAATTTCATAAGCTATGTTGAAAATAACAGTTCAAGTTAAGGGGAACCATAACATTTTGGGAAAGTTATCAACATTAGAAAGCATTTAATTTATGGCAACCCATATTGGATAACATTTTGTATTTTACGAAGCATTTCAATTGAAGTTTAACATTTAGGGGTTTTGGGGTTTTGGGGTTTTGGGG